GGAAGCGCAGCCGCTGCTGTTACGGTGGGATAAAAGGGCTTGCAGGCAGTTCCTCCGCGCGCTCAGTGACACTGCGAACAGCCCACGGCACCGAGCCCTCCCACGGGGACCTCCTTCTGCCCTGGGAAGCTCCCAGGTGGCATTAAGGGTGGGAAGTCAGCCGCTGTGGTGGCCACGTCCTCCTTGCCATCAGCCTCAGGGAAGGAAGGGGACAGAGAGATCACTAATGCATAAATGCCTCAATAAACCAGAACACGATTTCTCAGAGAAAGCCCATGGGGGATTATCTGCCCACCAAAACCTTCTCCCTTGCAAAATGCAAGAGCTACTTTCTTCTGGTGAGGCTGTGCCAAGGTCAGGGGTCAGAGTCCCTACATTCAAAAGACATTTTAGATATTAGCTCCCTGGGATCTTTCCTTAGCAGGAGGAGCACCATCAGAGCCTGAAAGTCACAGGATTCATTTGGCAAATGGTCAGGATCGTATCCATCACATTTTGGGAATAAAACAGGTTGAAAAGTAACTGTGGGAGGGGAGGAACTGGTGGGTAATATGGATTCCACGGTGCCAGGAAGGGGACAGCACTGTGCCCTTGGGACCAAACAGCAGAAGGTACCCTAAGGAGGACCTGTGCGGCTAGCAGCGGAGACTTGGCATGGGCGGGGAGAAGCAGCTCCAGCTTCTCCTGCTATCCCCGAGAAAGCAGGAGCCAACAGAGTTTGTGCAAACAACAACATTCTAGGATTGAAAATCACGTCTGAGGGCCGTCACGGAGCATGCCTTGCAGCTGAAAGGCTTTGAAGCAAGAAACCCCCATCAGAGAGCATCCACCGAGGCGCCGAGGACGGGGCATTCAGCTCAGAAGCAGCTGCGCCGGTCGGGGACTGGAGCACATGGAAGCTCGCTGGACCGCAAACGTGGACAAAGCTTGAAGGACGGCCCGTTTCTGCCAAGGGGGCTTGGCTGGACTCACCTCCCCGTTAATTTCTTAGTGAGTTCAGTAAATGCTCACCAGATCGCTGTCTACCTCAGAGCCACAGGACCTGGGGGGGAGGCACCTCTGGGGGTCTCTGGTCCAGTCTCCTGCCCGGAGCAGGGCCAGCTTCAAGGTCAGCTCCTAGGCGGGCTGCCTGCGCGCTCGGCTGGGAACGCCCCCGCACGGGCACGGGCGCCGTGCCTCTCCTGCCCAGGATTTCAGTCCCGGGGCCGCCACCTCAGTCTGCAGAAGAGACCTGGGTACAGATGTGACAGCACGCATCTCCTGCAGGAACGCCGCCTTCCTCCCTGGAGGGAGCATGCCAAGCGTTTTTGCGGTGCTCCTGCCCAAAACCCGGCGTCAGAACAGATACCGACAACAGGCGAGATGCGGTCGCTTCCTGCCCCTCAGGATTTTTTAGTCTCACTAGGGAGATATGTTTTGCTCCCCCAAACCCCTTCTGGTCCTGGACAGTGTGAGGGAGGGGACAGGGCTTTATCGCCACCATGCCAAGGCAACGCTGGGCGCCAGGAAAAGCCGCGGCTTCGGCACGGGGGGCAGCGGAGGCGGGACAGGCTGGAGCTGCGCCCCTGCTCCCGGGGAGGGGTCAGCAGGCTGCCGACAGAGGAGCCAGCGCCGGCCTCGTGAAGCCGTATCTAAAATGAAAAGAACAGGGACCCGCTGTGCCACACCTGAAGCAAGCGAGAGATGGACCCTGGCTTTCCAAATGCCGCGCTGCCATTCAGCAAAAGGGTTAGTGAGCTTCCCGAGTTATCCTCAGGAGTTCCCGTGGTTTGTAAGGTCCCGTACTCTCCCTGGAATAAAACGGGCTCTATCTCACAAGGCACATTTC